GTGTTTTCAGTCAGTGAGGGACCAGGACGAGGGTTCGGAGGGTGGGAGGTTCATCAGGGGGAGGCCTATTGATGGTGGCTGAGGTGGTGTACAGGGAGCAGGTGACACTCTGAACTGGTCCCTGTGGGCTGTGTCGCTCCAGCAGTGTCATATCTAACTCTCTGTTTCCGGCTGGGATGCTGTGTGCATGCCCTGCTACCAAGAGCCTCTCAGAGGTGCCAAAATGCCACCGTCCCTGGGATTTCAGGTTTTATTCTATTTATCCCCAAAGGACAGAGCAGGAGGTGTCTGGGACGCCATGAAGGACAGGAGTTGGGGTTTTGAAACAGCAGGAAAGGGAATGAAGCTGGAGTCTGAGAACAAGGGGAGGTGCTGCATGGGGAGGGCATGGGGGCTGGGCCAGACCATGAGGCCNGCTGCATGGGGAGGGCACAGGGGGCTGGCCAGACCATGAGGCCTCCTGAGGGGCGCTGAGGATTTGGGGTTTTGTGCAAACAGCAGGGAGGAGTCCTGAGGGTTTAAAGCAGGTGACTTGCCTGAGCTGAATGACAAAGATCCCTTGAGCTCCTTGACAGAGGGCCCAAAGGAAGTGATCCTGGTCCAAGCCGTTTACTAAGTGGCCCAGTGAGTCCAGAAATGTGGGGACTGTTGGACGATTTGCAAAGTTAAAGCAGAATTGGATTCAGGCATAGTGATGGGTTCTGCATTCAACTGCCCAGATATTCTGGACATGGGCAAACGCATCACAATCTCACATTTATCTTGCTACTAAAATAAGACAATGCATGAGAAAATACAGGTAGGGAAAGTTTTATTTAAAATATAAAAAAATATTAGGAAACCTAAGAAAATCTGAACAAGAAACACAGGACACAGATATGAAAAACTCCACACACTAAGATAAAAAGTCAACTCCTAGAAGGAGTTCCCACGCTACACATTCCACTGGCAAATGTGAAGCCTACGAAAANTAAAAAGTCAACTCCTAGAAGGAGTTCCCACGCTACACATTCCACTGGCAAATGTGAAGCCTACAAAAGCCATTGTTTTTATCAATCACTTAATCACATCAGATCTCCATGGAAACTGTACCTGCATCTCATGACTAGAAGTGTTTGCCGAATAGTCCTCTTCTGAACATGCCTCGGAATGTATTCTTGGAAAATTCCTTGACAGTCCTTGCCAGCCCCTTAAACCAGATAAACGGTCCCTTCATCTGTGACATTGGACAGGAAGGTCACTGTGTATTTACTTTGGTAACGTCTTCACTGGAGGTGGAAACCCAGTCAGTTTGTCATTTATGTATATTATTGCGCCTCCCACAGATGAGGACTCCTGCTGGGACTGAGATAGTACAGCGACCACTACAGTGTATCAGAATCACAGTATCTGGGAACCAGCCCATGATGTGTGAACAGAGACAGTCACCTGCTCAGCTGCAAAATCCAGCTGGGCGCTCAGGGCTGTGGGCCGTAGGGAGGTGTGTGCTCTGGGACCAGCAGGGGGCGCTGTGGGACTGCCCTGTGGTCCCTGTGCAGTGGTTCATGGAGGAACATTCACTCCTAGGGGCCTGGGCCTGGAGGCTGGGCCCTGTGCTCACTGATGTGTTGTCTCAGCAGGTGCTTCCTCCCAGGGCTCCCCCAAGGG